GTGAGTGCGCGCTGCTGGCGTCTGTGGGGCCATGGCGGGTGCTCCTGCCTGGTGGGAGATGGTTGGGAGGGTCACAGGCTGCACAGGCAGGGGCAGGGTTCCTGGCTGTGCTTATCAGTTGGTTCCCATGGTTCCCATGGCTTGATCTAACACAGCTGGGGAGGGATGGGACGAGCTAGTCCTGGTACCTGGTGCCCTCCTTTCCCTTTGAGGGCCTATACCTGCCCGGGTGTAGAGCCGAGTGTGTTGGTGGGAGTTGTAACAGGACCATCCCTGCTTCCCTCAGAGGAGATGCCTGTGCCTGGCCAGATGGGGGGGGGTGGGGCGGGGTTTCTGCTCCAGACAGACACCTGTTCACATTCCCACGCCGAGGCTGGAGGGGGGGGGGAGTAATGGCCTGGCACACCCCGTGAGCAGCGGACTCAAACCGAAGGGGCTAACCGCCGCAGGGCACTGCTGCTCTGAGAGGATCATGTTCTTTGAGTGGGCTGGACAAACTCAGGTCAGCGGAAGAGGTGGCTTCCGCACCTCCCCGGCTTGCTACCTACAGGCATTTATACAGTGCTTTGCCCTGAGAGTGCTGTTGAGAAGTGCCTCAGATAAGCTTCACCCCAAGGCACGTTTGCGTTTGGGCTTCCAGTCCTAGCCAGCTCCCCGAACTGTCATGTTTGAGGGACATTGATGATGCTAGAAGTCACCTGTTGAAACCTGGCAAAGGTAGGAGGGTGGGAGGGACCAGCGCTGGTGTTTGGGGCCCTGAGGAGCCTGAGAGGAGTGTGCAGGTACATGGCGTCTGTGCTGGGGACCCAGGTTGGGAGGGCTAGGCCTCGTCCCTGAGCTACCACTACCCCAGTGCCTCCTGGAGCAGGTCTGGTCTTCCACGGGGTGCCATCCTCGCCTCTGTCCAGCAGGCCCCTTCTGCTTTGCAGGTGAGGAGGTCGTGGGCATTCCCAGCTGGTTCTCTCTTCAGGAAGGTCCAGGGCTTTCCCAGGCACGTGCCTGGATTGCCTGCCTAGAGGTACCTGGCACCCCCAGACAGTCCAGCACCCCCAGCCAAACGGGTGCTCACCCAAACAGAACCGGGAGCCCCAAACAGAAGGACTGTGGAAGATGCAGGTGAAAAGCTGATGTGAGCGTGTGTCCCGCGCCCACTGCAGAAGCTCAGACACTCTTGGACTCCTGTAAGATCCAGAGATTACCAGAGTGTGGCTCCTTCAGAGTTTGACACCCCTAGTATATTAAGAAATAAAGACATGACAGAGAAGACCATACATGCTTTTAAACACTCATGTATGGATGGTCCCAGAGTCCAGATGTGTCAGCTTCAGGTTTCTCAACCTTATCATGGCAGAAGCACACACATATCACTGTTCCGTGTTTCAAATTCAGTATAGTGTTCAGTAAGTTATGTGAACTGTTGAACCTTGTGTTATAAATCAGGCTTTGTGCTGAGTGATTTTACCCCGCTGTGGGCTGCTGGAAGTGTTCTGAGCACATTTGAGGTAGGTCAGGTTAAGCTACAATGGATGGTGGGTAAGGTGCATTGGATGCATCTTTGTCTGAGGGTATTTTTGACCTACACTGGGCTTGTTACTCCATTGTAAGTGGAGAGCATGTGTGCACTCCCACAAGTCAGTGCTGTTGCTGTGCAGAAAGGGGCAGCATACCTCTGTAGATGCCAGGTTCCTGGGGAAGGTGAGAGATCCACTTGGGGCCCTGGGAGCCTTACCAGCATCTTCGTCACAGGACCGTTTCCACATAGGAGCTGCAGCCCTGTGGTGCACATACTCATGACACCTCACAGTAACTTGGTGTTGGGATTACACATCTGAGGCTCTGGCCATGGACTTCGGGCTTTAGTGGTGCTGATATCATGCAGAGACCCTGGTTAGCACCCAGAACAGCCTCGTACCTCTGGGTGCTGGCTCTGAGACCTGGACATGTGTCTCTCAGATTCTCCTAGCCTCAGTCTCTCTTTTTCTCCACATGGGGTTTTGGTGAGGAACGGTGTAACTTCTGTACAGTGCTTGGCATACATCAGCCTCTCAGTAAACAGGTACCCCTGTGGAAAGTTACTGACTTTGAGCTTTTTTGGGGGCCCGTGGGGAACCTGGCCAAATCCTGAGTTCCTTAGTGGTGGAGATGATGTATTTTAGCACTTGTATTGTGACAAGACCAGTGTAGGGTGAAATCCTGGGTGAGCTCTACCATCCGCCTGGTCAGACTTGGCTGAGGCACCCCAGTGAGCACGTATCCACGGGCACCAAGCCTGACCAGGTCTCCATGAGGGTCCCCCACCGTTCCCGTGTAAGACTGTCTGGAGATCTGCTGGTCCTCAGGGAAGCTTTGAGTGGATTCCAAGTTCGTGTCTTTGCATATGGGAGGTTGTTTTGGTGATGTCTGCCCAGTGGTATGGTGGCTGGGAATGGGCACCTTTGTTTTAGAGGAAATATGAGAGCAGAGAGGTCCGGCACCTCCTTCTTCCTTTGCCTGCCATCCACTGAGGGTTCTTTGCCCTTCTTTTTCCCCATGCTGTAGAGAAAGCTCCTGGGCTGAACACTTGTAAACAATTGCAGGTGTGCAGGGAGCAGGAGTGGGAGGAGCTGGCAGGTGTCAGGGAAGCTGGTTCCCGTGGTCGGGAGGGGCAGCCCTCGCAGCCCCTGGTCCTCCGGACAGTCAGGGCAGGGTGCCCTCCTTGGCTGGGGGGTGTCCTCTCCAGGAGGGGGAGCCTCCCTCACCAACTCTGAGCTGGTTGCCGCCACACCAGCATGCCTGCGGGCTCACCTTCCGTGTCTACACGGCCTGTCTGTCCAGTGCATCCTCAGGCTGGCTGGACCTCATGGCCCACATGACCAGAGCCAGGGATTTCCTCCCCCACAGTTGTGCCCGTGCGTGGGCATTTTCAGGGAGACCAGGCAGCAGCTGAGCTTTCTCTAGCTGGAGGTTAATTCATTGCCTCCCCCACACCTTGATCCTTAGCAGGAATATACATTTCAAACACGGGCGAAGGGGTCCTGGGCTCACACGCTCAGGGAGCAGACTGGGAAAGGGGGTGGGGGTCGTAACCTGTCTGGCCTGGAAGCTTCTGTCTGATTTGTATTGCCCCCAAATGGATGGGGACAATGAGGTAATCACCAAGAATTGCACTCCCTGTTGAAAACGGAACCAGCCCCTCTGCATGTCCCGACATGGGCGCCGTCCCCAGGGCGTCTGGTTCCTATCAGTGTCCCCAGGCCCCGGAGGCTGCCGGACACCCTCACATTTAACCTTCCCGGCATGAGGCCAGCCGGGGGCCAGCTGGGCCACAGGATAATGAACCTGCACTCAGAGGAGGGGCCTCCCCTTGGCCTGCCAGAAGCGGGGCGGGACTTCGCCAGGCATCTAAAGGAGCTGTTGTTTACAGGGACCTGAGAAACGCCAGATTCTTCAGACCCAGACCCTATTAGTCAACTCAGAGTGGTCGTGCTTAGCCTCTTCCCCCCCCAGAAGGGGAAGGCAGGCCAAGCCCACCCACCAGCCCCTACTGCTCTCCACTGCACTCCACTCACAATTACCTTGGGAGGCTGTGGCAGCTCAGTTGATTAGCATGGTGAATTAAAAGAATGAGTCACAAATGACATGTCCAGCTCCTCCGCACTAGTCTTTTGCATTCCCAGTGTGCCTCACCCCTGTTGTAAGAAGGTCAAAAATTAGAGGGAGAGAGCACAATTTCCAAGCAGCTAGCACTTAGGAGCAGAATTAACAATCACTGTGTATGTAATTGCCAGTTAATAGTAAATTGCCTTCTAGACTGTAAAATGCAGTATAAACTGGTGGGCACCTAAAATTAAATTAATGAGATATTTGCCGCATTTAAAAGTGAATGTGCAAATTAATAAGTGAATGCTCGTTTCAATATTTGTCTAATAGTGTGCTATTTGCCTGTTTAATAATAATTAAAATAGTGCTGGGATATCTTACCTGGGAAACTCACAGTGTGGGCAAATTGAGCAGTTTTGCATTCATAATTTCACTAGTAGAAATACATCAAACGCTTAAGAGTAATAAAAGAAATTATTTTTTAATTAGAATAGTAGCATTATGGTGTTACTTGATTAAGACAGATTGGAATTTGTATGCTTCTAATTGAAATTATGTTCTCGTGAAAACTACTTTTACGGACATGTTTTCAAGTGTGAAGCATTAGGCCCACAGGCATGTGTATTCCTGTTTTCTTAAAATTGTCACTTGGCAGAATGGCTTCGTATTAAACCGAAGAATGGAGGCCATTGGTGGTGGCTTGACTTCACCCGGGACAAGGCGAGGGGAAGGGGGCTGCTCCTAGTGCCCTCCTGCCCTTGGCATTTAGAGATTTCTTTTGCTCAATTAAAGAAATTATCACAAATTACGGGGAGTCAACGTGTCGCCTCTCCTGCAACATACTGAGCCCAGTCACTCAACAAGATGTTGGCAGGCAGCAGCGGACACTTCTCAGGTGGACACACAGCACATACCTGGCCCAGCCCCAGGTCTGCATTGTGTGTGCTAGAGGAACATAAAGTGAGCCCTCTGTACCACACGTGCGTGTGCACGCACACGCACACACGCGCACACACGCGTGCGCACACACACGCACGTGCACACACGCACATGTGCGCACGCGCGCGCGCACATGCACGCGCACACATGCACGCGCGCACACACGTGCACACGCGCACACACGCACACACACGCACACATGCATGCACACACATGCACACGCGCGCACACGCATGCACACACGCACACACATACACCCACGCACACGCACACACACGCGCATGCGCACACGCACATGCGCACACCCACGCACACGCACATGCTCACACACACGCACACGCACGTTTGCTGTCAGGTGGGCAGCACCTACTCATCTAGTCGGCACAGGCAATTGTTGTTCCTTCTGACACAGTGTTTCATGTTTCTCCTGGTATTCTTTTTTGTAGTGAAAGATTGTGCCTTGTGGGCTGGGCCGTGTGCAG